TTGCAGGATGCCTGCCCACATTGGCGAGGGGGGATCTTCTTCACTCCGTCTACTGATTCAAATGCAAATATCTTCCAGAAACACTCTCACAGACATACCCCAAAATGATGTTTTACCAGCTGCCTGGGCATGCCTTAATCCAGTCAAATTGACACATCAAATTAACCATCACACTCAACATCTTATTTGGAGCATCTTTTAAATGATTTTGGTTTCCAAGGAATTGCAATTACTGAAGTCTTGTATTTTCCACAGATACACCAAGGGATTTGTTTTGTTTTTTATGTATTTATTTTTTAAAGTTATCAAAAAGTTAGAGGGAGAGACAGCAAGAAGTTTTAGGGAAATACACTCGTGAGAAACAAGGAAATACAGTCATGCATTGCTTAACGATGGAGATACATTCTGAGAAATGTGTCGTTAAGTGATTTTGTCGTTGTTTGAACATTATGGAATGTACTTGCACAAACCTAGATAGTCTAGCCTACTAGTCACCTAGGCTCTATGGTGTAGTCTATTGCTCCTGGTCTATAAACGTGCACAGCATGTTACTGTACTGAACACTGTAGGCAACTGTAACACAGAGGTATTTTTCTATCTAAACATATCTAAACATAGAAACAGTAAAAAATATGGTATTAAAATCTTACAGGACCGCCATTGTACATGGAGTTCATTGTTGACTTAAACATCATTTTGTGGGGCATGGCTGTATTTACTTTGGACCTGTCCCCACCAGGGTCTTATACCACCTACTAATACTGAGTAACAATCCAAACTCATGGTGTCCCTCCCTCCCTCCTAAAACCCTAACATTCTGCTCTGGTGTTTTCCTTGTGATCTGGAGGATCATGGCTCCTGTTCACCTGGTCATGGCTCCAAGCCATGGCCTGACTGGGGACCCTTTCATTGCTCCCCACCTCCAAAAGAGCCAGACCTGTGGGTTCTGCCCTAGCAATGCTGCCCAGCTCTGCTTTCTTTCCATTTACTTTCTCCTTTCCCACTGTATCTGCCCCAGTGCCCAGTCATTTCTCTCCTGGACTACTGCAGTGGATCCTAATGGCCTCTGGATTCCTCATCTTCTCTCAACTGCTTGCAGATTAATTTTGCTTACCTAAAATTCATGTTTTCTCAACGTTTATTAAATAAAATTCCAGTGTCTCAGCTGCTGGAGGTGCTCCACCCAAAGGCACCAAGTTACCTTTTATGTTTAATGTCATCGTCTTCTGACAATCGTAAAAGGGGACTGTACACTGTAATATGAACCCTCTCCTTAATTCTTTGCTCTTGTTCTTTCTGTAAATGCTGTGGGCCCCATGCCCCCCCATCCTTTAGGACCTATCTTAAATGCCACCACCCCTGCAAAGATTTTCCTTCTGACCTCCTTTTTCCTCTACCAGACCTGTTGTTTCTCTTTTTAGGTGGCTCACTGAACTTTGTATCCCTCGTGTTATTTAATCATAATCGGTTTCTTTTAACAAAGCATGTGTGTACTTAACCTTATCATTCCTGCATTTTTTGCTAGTTGGACTTGAACAAATGGTTGTATAAATCCATTGGAAAAAAGTATTCAAGATAGGAAAAGTCCAAATTACTGTGTTAGTTTATCAGATGCAATGTAAAGCTATGCAGAATTTAAAAAATTACATCTAGACACCTATATGATTATGTATTAATTATTTTGCTAAGATGGCTTTGTTCTAGTATTGAAGGATACAGAAGTGTGGCATTACTTTTTATTCATGGCTGCACCTAAAAAATTATTTGCGTCCCATAAGATAATTTGAGAACATAAAAATGCTCCAACATCTCTTTCAATTCGGGATGTTGCCTAAAAACGTCGACAAACGCTGTTTGAGAAGGGAGGCTACGCTGGGGCGCCCAAGGAGACAGGCCCTTAAGAACCTTCCAGAGATGCGTTAACTGGGCTAACAGCTCGCCGCGCCAGAGCAGGCAGAGGGGTGAGGGGCGCGCTCCTTCCGGACTTGCCAGGCCCCAAGAACCAGGCCGACCGGTTCCCACCGCTGACTCCCGCCTCCCTCTGCAGGCCCAGCCCTGCGCCGCGCGCCCTCTCCCCGGGCGCCCAGGCCCGGCGGGGGCCTAGAGGGCAGGAATGGCCCGGGCGAGGGTCGGGGTCCCGCAGGCGGGAGGTGGAATGCGGGAGGCGAGAGGCAGGAGGCGGGAGGCCGCGCGCGTTGTCGGGGTTTCCAGGTGAAGGGCAGGAAAACAACCGGTCGATCTGGGCGGAGCCGGGCGGGCGGGGCGAGGGCGGAGGGCGGAGGGCGGAGGGCGGAGGGCGCATTGCCTCATCCTGTACATTTTACTGGAAATCGGCCGCATCCGGAGGAGGGGCTGGGAGGCGGCCCAGGCACCGCCAATGGCCGGGCCGGGCGCCGGGGAGGTCGGCGAGCTCGGGAGCCGGTTAAATACCCTGGCAGCCCCGCGCCGCGCCCGTACCCGCCCGCGCTATCCGCCCGCCGACAGTTCTCCGAGCCCGCCCGGGAGGCAACCGCGCGCAGCGAGCCGGTGGCGCAGGTGTCGGGGTCCCCGAGCGCCCAGCCTGGGAGCATGATTGTGGACAAGCTGCTGGACGACAGCCGCGGCGGAGAGGGGCTGCGGGACGCGGCGGGCGGCTGCGGCCTCATGACCAGCCCACTCAACCTGGGCTACTTCTACGGCGCGTCGCCGCCCGCCGCCGCCCCGGGCGCCTGCGACGCTAGCTGCTCGGCCTCGGGCCCCTCGGCGCCCGGCTCTCCCGGCTCCGACTCCTCGGACTTCTCCTCCGCCTCGTCTGTATCCTCCTGCGGCGCCGTGGAGTCCCGGCCGAGAGGCGGCGCCCGCGCCGAGCGCCAGCCAGGTACCAGCCGGCCCCGCACCGCTGCGTTCTCGGGGCGCGCACGCCCTGGGAGGTTGGAAGACTCCCCAGATGGAGGGTGGCCCCTGCGCCCTCCTTAGAGCTAGAACGTACGCACCTTAGCCATCAATTACCCCTCCCCGCCTTGCCGGGGCCGGACGCCTGCCAGATCTACACGCCCTTCGGCGGCCGGCTGTACCGGCGCCCTCTTGCGGGCCTCGGGGCTTCGGAAACCGCTCAGCCGAGCTCTGACTGCCGGGCGAGTGACCAGGAGATCGCTCACTCTCTAAGAAGCAGCTTTGTTGAGTTATAATTAATATACTGTGATGAGATTTGGGGTCTGATGTAGGTGTAATTTTCTTCTTGTGACTATTTTAGTGAAAAGCTGTAGCAGAGGATAAGGGTTTGGGGATTGCGTTAAAGGCCATGACTTATTTCTTCGTCAGTATTTATGGAAGTTTTAAGTAAAAATACTTGACCGTCAAAGAAAAGAAAACTGCTGTTATTAAGGTGAAGCAGGGCTGAAAACCAACTCAAGTTATGCCTTTAGTTTGGCGAGTTTCGGAAGTCTGCCCAGAATTTCTGAGGTCTTATTTTTGTTCTGTATGCCTTAAGAAAAAAAACAGATAAGCCATATCTAGCAGAGAAAGATGTAATGTTATCTTTCGTTGGCTGCGAATTGGTTTCCTTTCTTAGTGAACCGAGTTGCATAATTTGGGGGAAAACAGGATGCCCCTGTGGGTAGGCTAGAAAAACGCCTCGATAATTGAACCGTTGAGAGTCTAATCAGCATGGTTTTATTTTAAAGAACATCTCTTTCCGGTGTTTCCCGCTCTTAGCCACTCCTGTTTTGGTTGTCATTTATTTTAAAAAGTGATTTCTCATTTTCATTTTAAGTCATTTAAAATCATGTGAAAAGTGATTTAAACCACTGTGTAGCAGATCCAGAAAGAATGTGTGTTTAGGACCTTTTCTTCCCCATTTGGCGTTCATCTGGCTGAAACTGTTTTGCTAGTCGCTTGGTTTACCACACGGCCACAGGGGATTTCTGAAACTGCATTTTTTTTTTTTTTTTTAATCTCTGTGACGTTGGATTATTAACTGCTGTCATTCCAGAAAAATGCTGTGTTAGATTCTGGCAATTCTGGTATCTTTTGAAATCCCTAAACTTAAAGCCAACTAATGTTTCACTTACCCTATCATTGAACTATTTATCTCACATATTTATGATAGATACATATGTTCAAATTATGCGTTATTTCTTGCCCCACCTTATTTTTTCTACACTTGATGGAGTGGCTGAATTATTCATTTCCTGACTTTTTGTGAATTTATGTTGAACACACATACTAAGAGGTTGTGACATAATAGTCATCAGAAGTGGTGTACTGTACTTCTATACTAAATGCTAAAGTGTATTTCAAAATTTAAAAGTGAAACAAGCATATTTCCTTTTTACTTAGAAGACCTGTGTAAGTAATTCCAAAAACAGTCAGTGAGGGGAAATCCTGTTTGCATATGTAGAAATGTGTTTAAGCTCAGTTAATTTAAGCAGCTTTTTTTTTGGCACAGTTGAATTGAAGGAAATAATAAGACATGAATCTAAGACATTGTTAATTGTCAGGTTTTGGTACATTGAGATCTTTGAAAGAAGTTGTTTTGTGCCTTCTTGGGGAAGCGGAATTGATAGACTTTAAAATTTCTATGTGAACATAAAACCAATGGTTTAAAAAGCTAAAAGTGCATCATTTATCACTTGCTCGCCAAGGTTTTTCCAAAGTCAAGAATAATTATAGATCTATGAGAGTCAGGATGGCAAAATCGGTGATCCATTCTCATGGGTGGTTAGAGCTGAAAGATAGGCTTCATTTGGGTTTGCCTCTTGGTTCTGAGGATCCTTGACCACGTTTTTATGAGCTTTAATTTCTTAGGGTACCCAGTAGAAAAAGGTATCAGGCAACTTAGGAGCCTTGAGCAGAGCTGGGGACTCACGAGACCATTGATTGACCAGAGCAAATTGGAAATGTTTTGCAATCTGCTGCTTGGGGACTTTATACATTAGGCAACAGCTATACTTTTGGGATTAGTAACATTTATGTCTGTGAAGATATTTAACCAGGAATATGTTTTGTTTTCTTTTGAACAGTTGAGCCCCATATGGGGGTTGGCAGGCAGCAGAGAGGCCCTTTTCAAGGTGTTCGGGTGAAGAACTCGGTGAAGGAACTCCTGTTGCACATCCGAAGTCATAAACAGAAGGGCTCTGGCCAAGCTGTGGATGATTTTAAGGTGACATCTATTTTTCTGTTTTGAGTGTAGAGTGGTGGGGAGGGGTTAGTCTGTCAGGGTAGTTATGATGGCCTAGGTCCAGTCATCAAGTAAGTTACTTGAAATTTTTCATAGATGACAGAGTCCATAGGACAGAGACCATATTTGGTCTGTTGTATCCTACTGAGCCCAGTGCCAGACACCTGGTAGATGGGCAAGAGAAACTTAATGAATAAATGAAGGCAAGTTCAGGGACGCAACCGAAATGGAACATTTTAACTAGAAGGGAAAAACCACATACTCTTATTAATTTCATCTTGACCTGCATTGAGCTAAGGTGAAAGTGAAAATGAGGAAGTTGCAAGATAGAATAAAAAAAAAAAAAAAAAAAAAATTGACATAGAAAATAAATATTGATAGAAAAACCGTATCAGAGATTTATGGTAAGATATAAGGGGTGTTAGAGATAAGCTTACTTATTGATGTATATTAAGAGGAAGTCATTTTGTATACACTAAATTGGAAACTTTTTTCTTTTATAGACACAAGGTGTGAACATAGAGCAGTTCAGAGGTAAGAGTTACTTGTATTCATAATTTTTTCGGGGCTTTAGAGTAAAATCATAGAGTGTAATTATGAGTAACATGTATAAAATAAGATGATCACAGAGGCTGTATTCCTTTGGGTACAGAATGGAAGAACACAGTATCATATGGTGGGAAAAGGAAAGGGCCCGATTTGTTGTCTGATGGACCAGCTTGCAAAAGGCCAGCTCTGTTGCATTCCCAATTTTTGGTAAGTATCTTACCATTTTCCTCTGACTATCCTTTGGGAATTATTCCTGGGATAATTTTAGAAGGAAGTGAGTGTGCAAGTTGCATTTTACTTCTTTCCAGACACCACCTCAAACACCAACGCCCGGGGAGAGCATGGAAGATGTTCATCACAATGAACCCAAACAGGACAGCAGTGCTGATCTGCTTCAGAACATCATCAACATTAAGAATGAATGCAGCCCCGTTTCCCTGAACACAGTTCAAGTTAGCTGGTTGAACCCCGTGGTGGTCCCTCAGAGCTCCCCTGCAGAGCAGTGTCAAGACTTCCATGGAGGACAGGTCTTTTCTCCACCTCAGAAATACCAACCATTCCAAGTCAACAGCCCTCCACAAGTGATAGACCAGGCTTCCCTGTACCAGTATTCTCCACAGAACCAGCATGTAGAGCAGCAGCCGCACTATACCCACAAACCAACTCTGGAATACAGTCCTTTCTCCAGACCTCCCCAGTCCCCCACTTACGAACCAAACCTCTTTGATGGTCAAGAATCACCGTTTTGCCCGAATGAAAGCTTAGTTTCCTTTCTTAATAATGAAAGGGAATCTGAGAATATTGCTAATCCCGTTCCGACTTCCTCCAGTGTTCAGCAGCAAAATGATGCTCACTTGCACAGCTTCAGCATGATGTCCGACAGCCTCTGTGAGGCCATGGCGGGGCACGAGATGGCCTCTGACGCTTCAAACACTTCACTGCCATTCCCAAACATCCCTGGAAATCCAATGAATACCACACAGTTAGGGAAATCATTTTTTCAGTGGCAAGTGGAGCAGGAAGAAAGCAAATTGGCAAATGTTTCCCAAGACCAGTTTCTTTCAAAGGATGCAGATGGTGACACGTGAGTATCCTTTTATCTCGTGTTCTTAATTAAGTAAGCCACACTTGTTGGACTAGTAAGCATAGAATTTTTCTAGGGTACACCAAGGTATACCTTAGTGGTTGGCTAACCAAGATGACTAGTATAGATAGAAACCGCCACGCAGTGATAGCTAATATGTCAAGAAAGGGTTTTCCTTCAAAGAAATTTTTTGGCTGAACAAATAACCTGTTTTAAATTGTAAAAATATCTGTGTCATCTTGAATAATTGGTTTGGAAGACCAGCGTAGACTGTAGAACAGAAACAATTAGATCATGATTAGGGATAAACTGAGTTGGTTTGCAGATTGATCTTAATCTGTCCTGATGCCTTTGTGGCCTTGGGCAAGTTATTTAAACTCTTTATGTCTCAGTTCCTGGAGATGTAAAATGATAATACCTCTTGTATAGGGATTTTATGAGTATTAAAAATAATAAATGTAAGGTGATCAGCATGGTGCTTGACATTCTTCTTTTTCTTATTTCTGATAGCCTAACCCATCCTGTTCCAACTGGGGTGTATTATCAATGTAGCAGAAAAGACAAATTATGCTTTGTAATGTTTCATTTGAGTGTACCAATATATAAAAAGGGGGCTAAAGGAAGATTTTTTTTTTTTCAAAAGAACAACTTAGTGAAATCAGAAATAATTCACCCCTTTTCCTTTCCATGTTCCCCAGGTTCCTTCATATTGCTGTTGCCCAAGGGAGAAGAGCACTTTCCTATGTTCTAGCAAGAAAGATGAATGCACTTCACATGCTGGATATTAAAGAGCACAATGGACAGGTGAGGACCTTGACAGAGTCTGAAATGGCAAAGAGGGGGTCATGGTGAAGTGAATGATGACCAGCCTTATGTGTAGATCATCTTAGAGCTCAACATCAAGAGAGTTTAGTTAATATTAACTTTGAGATGTTGACTTTTTGCTGTCATCAACCTTGAAGTTATTAACTTTGTAGCTATTTGACCAAACACTGAGTGTAATAAAGCCACACCCTCGGCTTACTTTAGTTTCCTTGTCTTACAGTATTTGATTGCTTATTCAAAGGATTTATTTTCTCTATGTGGGTTTTTCCCTCAGTCATAGTTTAGTTTCATATTCCTTGTTATGATAACATTGTATGTTTAAAATATCTTTTTTCCTCTGGATATCCACAGAGTGCCTTTCAGGTGGCAGTGGCTGCCAATCAGCATCTCATTGTGCAGGATCTGGTGAACCTCGGGGCGCAGGTGAACACCACCGACTGCTGGGGAAGAACGCCTCTGCATGTCTGTGCTGAGAAGGGCCACTGCCAGGTGCTTCAGGTAAGAGGCAGCAGACCAGGCTTCCATCATTGCAAGGCCAGAGAGATACAGTTGGATATTAGAAGTTGGATATAGGTTGCCTATTGCAATAATCTATTTTGAGTTAACTTACTCATTTCTTGGGGATTCTAATAGTTAGGTATATGCGCAGCTTGTGTTGCTAACAGATGTCTGTTTTTAAACTCTGCAGGCGATTCAGAAGGGAGCAGTGGGAAGTAATCAGTTTGTGGATCTTGAGGCAACTAACTATGATGGTAAGCAACTGAAACTTTATTAGATTGAGAGCCACTTAGAGAGGGGGACCCATAAGGTCTAAGGGTACTAAGTATCATGCTAAGAAGGAAGGTAATTAAAGCTAAAATATTCTGTAGATAAAATTAGCACTGAGACCCAACAAAGGGACTATATTCAGATTGCTTTACTAGTTCTTGTGAAGCCCATTTGTAGGTTAAGTTAGAGGCCATCCTCAACTTTTGTCGTTATAGAAGGACCAAAAAACCTGATGGGATGCTCGACCACTGCTTGATTATACTTTTCTTCTAGGCCTGACTCCCCTTCATTGTGCAGTCATAGCCCACAATGCTGTGGTCCATGAACTCCAGAGAAATCAACAGCCTCATTCACCTGAAGTGCAGGAGCTTTTACTGAAGAATAAGAGTCTGGTTGATACCATTAAGTGCCTAATTCAAATGGGAGCAGCGGTGGAAGCGAAGGTAAACTCAAAGAAAAGGTTTAAGATGGGGTAGGGGAGAAGCTGGTTATAGCAGAAGAGCAAAAGACCTTGCTTCCAAGTACAGATTCAAACTTCCTTTTTTTTTTTTGAAATTAATGGTGTGAGTAGCAATGTATGGGGTGGTTAAGAAGCCCGGATTTTAACAGATCGTTTCATGTGTTTTTTTGATTTGCTTTGAATCTGTGGATTATTATCCAAAAGGTCATTTAGGTGTAAAATAGTCTTTGAAAGGAAAAGAACATGCCTGAAATTGATATTGTCATTTTGGCTTCCGTTTTCCTACACTGAGAATAAAGCTAGTGCTTTTTGTAAGGGTTTCTTCATTGTTGTGGGATGTGGAATTCATCTTCTGTTTTTTACGCTGGAAAATATTCTTTTAAAATTTGGTTTTATTCACTGAATATGTGGGGAAAATTGCGTAAGTCATAAACCGTTTGGACCCTTGAGGTTTACTGTCTAGTAAAAGAGGTGAGAGATACAGCTAAATATGACTCTGCAGGGAGGCTACCAAATCCGGAAATGCAGGTGAATACATAATACATGGTTTACTGATATGTTACGACATAGGATTTAAAAATATCATTTATTTTTCTACATTTTATGGCCACTCTGTATAAAAAGATACATTGTGATAAGAGGCATATAGGCAAATTAATAGGAAATTTAAGGGAAATAAAATACTCCCTTTAGCTTGGGATTAAGCAAGGCATTGTGGAGAAGGGAGCATTCAAAGTGAGTCTCTGAAGCCGAATCAGACATTCAAGAGACTGGGTGAAAAGTGTATTCCAAGGCATGGTATCTGGATTTTCTTTTTTTTTTTTTATCTCCCTCTTGCCTTTGACAAGGATCGCAAAAGTGGCCGCACAGCCCTGCATTTGGCAGCTGAAGAAGCAAATCTGGAACTCATTCGCCTCTTTTTGGAGCTGCCCAGTTGCCTGTCTTTTGTGAATGCAAAGGTACTTTTAGAAAGCTTTAATAACCACACCAGAGTGGGAATGGCCTTCTGTACACCTTCTCAAAGTTTTTGAGCTCCTTTCATGAAATTTCCCCCTTCCTGATGTCTGGTATTTCGTTTTATCTTCAGGCTTACAATGGCAACACTGCCCTCCATGTTGCTGCCAGCCTGCAGTACCGGCTGACACAATTAGATGCCGTCCGCCTGTTGATGAGGAAGGGAGCCGACCCAAGTACTCGGAACTTGGAGAACGAACAGCCAGTGCATTTGGTTCCCGATGGCCCTGTGGGAGAACAGGTGAGAGGCACAGGAGGGAGAGGAAGTACTTTTTGGCACTCCAGTCTGAAACATAAAGGGAGATTAGGCTGTGCAGGGCAGAGGCCAGCTGTTGCTCTTTAGGTGGGCTCTGTCAGTGTCTGTGTCTCACGATAGCCATCATAGCATTTTGGTGTTCCTCTTCCTTTGGAAACAGAGCAGTTAAGAAATCGGAGGGTTTATCCATAGACTCAAAATGGTTAGACGTCAGGTAGTAGTCTGTGACACAGACTTAGGGTTAGAGTAAGTCAGAATGGTTTAAGGTGCGGAAAGAGAAGGTACCAAGGTTCCTGCAGATACCAAGGAAAGAGAATCTTAGTCTTTTAAGGTATGAGCCTTCAAATATTGTGGATATTAAATGAGTTGTTATATGTGGAGTGCTGACAGTAGTCCCAGGTACAGAGTAAGAAGAGCTCAGTGAACATCAATAGTTAGAATTATTTCTGTCTACGAAGTGATACTGAACCAAAAATGGAAAAATTATGTAATTTCAAGCCTAGAAATACTTTACACTTTAAGCAGAATTAATGCTTTATTCATCAAATATGGTTATATGTTATCATTGAGGATTGAATAGTTTCATGAGTAAACTTTTTAGATAATAAGAACTTACTCTTTTAAGAACTTAAAATGTTTTTGATAGAACTCTTTTCCTGGAGGGAATGAGGGGGATTGTGGCTGTGGGTAGGTCATTACATACTTTACTAATCACAAAATAAAATATGTGGAATGCCGTTTAGCTGTTTCTTTGATTCTGAGCTGTCATTATGACCATAATGTTATAGCAGCCCCTATGTAGAGAGCTCTGTGTAATTTAGAAAGAATCTTTCAATAGTTTGTAAAGAGTTTTCATGTATATTTTAATAGTTAGAAGAACTTTGCAACTTTCAAGTTTCAACTGAGAAAATTGATATTCAGAGAGGTTCCAAGGACCATCATTAACTTGTAAAAAGGCAGAGTCCTAAGCCCAGTATTTGCTTCTACTTCACTGTTTGTGGTATGCAGTCATGTAACTATGCTCTCAGGGATTATTGAGGTATTAAGCCATTTAGCTCTTCATTAAATATTCTCAGATTATCTCCTTTTTGCTTTGGTATTTTGTGTGTGTTGGGCAGGTAGGGGGTCTTTTCCCTGGCTTTTATCGTCGTACTGTGATCATATGTTTCCTTCTAGCAGCTATCAGTTGTATCGCCTACCCCAATCTCCTTTCTTCTAAATTGTTGCTTCGTATCTGCTGGAGGCTGAGAGATAGAAAATAAAATTTATCAGGCTGGGTTATAAAATGAACCACTCTGAATGAGCTGGGATCTTTTCTGTGATCCATGAAGTTATGTGTAGATGCTTTAATACTTGGATATCATGACAGCTGTTTTGACTCGAATGGTATCAAGGATTTACTTGTGTGTGTGTATCATAAAATGTGGGTTTTGTGTTCCTGTTAGTTGAGGCTGACAAGATAAGCGAGATGTTATAATTTGCCTTAATTACTGCCTTATATTAAATGTTCTCACAAATAGCAAGACTAAAAATTAGGAAAAGAATATAGGTGTTATTTAAGTTTATGGAGATTTTCAACTTCAGATAATTTTTAATGGAGATGTTTTACTTTCTTGGACCCAAAGATTATTATAGGAGATCTGAAATAAGCTTTAAAAGTTTAGTATTTTTAAGAGTCACCTCAAAATCTTGAGTAGTATTGTGTGTATTTCTTCATATACTTACAAGTTAATAGGAGTAGTGTAGATTGTATAAGAAAGGAATGAAACTTAGAAGGAAATAACACTGCATTGGCCATAAGAAATAAACCTCACAAATTTTATTTGTTTCTCTTCCAGATCCGACGTATCCTGAAGGGGAAGTCCATTCAGCAGAGAGCTCCACCGTATTAGCTCCATTAGCTTGGAGCCTGGCTAGCAACACTCACTGTCAGTTAGGCAGTCCTGATATATCTGTACATAGACCATTTGCCTCATATTGGCAAATGTAAGTTGTTTCTATGAAACAAACATATTTAGTTCACTATTATATAGTGGGTTATATTAAAAGAAAAGAAAAATATCTAATTTCTCTTGGCAGATTTGCATATTTCATACCCAGGTATCTGGGATCTAGACATATGAATTTGATCTGAGTGGTAACATTGCCTTCAATTAACAGTAGCTTGTGAGTAGGCAAGGACTTTGATCTGTGGCACAAAACATTGTTAATATTTTCAAAGCAGGTACCTTGTAAATGTTTCTTTAAGAAAAATGAAAGCATGTGAAAGGAAAAAGGTAAATACAGCATTGAGGCTTCATTTGGCCTTATGCAGTCCCTGGGAGTTACTGGCACTGGACAGGCTTCAGTCATTGGACTAGAAGAAAGGTGTCCATGGTTAGAATTTGATCTTTGCAAACTGTATATAATTGTTATTTTTGTCCTTAAAATATTGTACATACTTGGTCATTAACATGGTCATATTTGAAAATGTATAAGTCAGTAAAATAGAAAAGAACAAGTGAATTGTTGCTATTTAAAATTTATTTTACAATTCCAAGGAGTTTTTATTGTGTAATCACTAAGTCTTTGTAGATAAAGCAGATGGGGAGTTATGGAGTTGTTCCTCTGTTGGCTGAAAGATATATTTGAATTGTAAAGATGCTTTTTCTCATGCATTGAAATTAGGCATTATTTGTAGGGAATTGCATGCTTTTTTACCTTCCCGAGACAGGGTCTTGCTCTGGCACCCAGGCTGGCGTGCAGTGGCATGATCTTGACTCACTTCAGGCTTGACCTGGACTCAAGTGATCCTCCCATCTCAGCCTCCTGAGTAGCCGTGACTACAGGTGTGCACCACCACACCTGGCTAATTTTATTTTTTGTAGAGGCAGGATCTTGCCACCTTGCCCAGGCTGGTCTTGAACTCCTGAGCTCATGCCATCGGCCTGCCTTACCCTTCCAAAGTGCTGGGATTGCAGGAGTGAGCCACCGTGCCCGGCTGGCAATTGCATGGAAGAGAACACCTCTTTCTGGCTTACTCTCTAGAATTTCTGATTTACGTGTTCTGTGGAAATTTTTGGTTTTTTTACGTTTATAGAAACAACAAAAAGTCAATATTGAAACGTGTCTTCCTGTTCTGTTTTCTATTGTCAAATGATGATAATGTGCCATGATGTTTTACATGTATCATTCAGAAAAAGTTTTATTTTTTAATAACATTCTATTAACATTATTTTGCTTGCCACTGGCATGCCTGAGGAATGCATTTGGGTATGATTACACACACACTAAGTTTTTGTAATAAATTTGACTCATTAAAAACCTTTTTTAAAAAAAAAATCTCATTTGTGACTAACTTATGTTTGCAGCTGAGTACTTAACTTCTTTTTAAAAGATACCCTTTGGATTGATCACATTGTTTGACCCAGTATGTCTTGTAGACACATTAGTTATAATCACCTTGTATCTCTAAATATGGTGTGATATGAACCAGTCCATTCACGTTGGAAAAACTGATGGTTTTAAATAAACTAATTCACTAATATTATATGTCTTACATGCATTTTCTTTTCCTAGTGCCTTATTTATATTTCCCTAGATAGAAAAAAGTACTATTGATGATTTTAAATGCCTTTGAGTGAGTTAATATGTGTTAATTTGGGTTTTTTGGATAACATGTTTCCTGAAAGTATACAAGATTTAACATCAAAATCTATTTGCTAAGTTTACTAGTAGAAGTGTGTTAGGTTTTGAAATTATCATGGAAGTTTAATAGATGCTGTCAATCATTCAGATGTTTAGATGCTAAAAAAAAAAAAATAAGTGGGAGCAGTGAATCATAGGAAAAACAGTTTGGAGATTACCAGGATCATCCTTAGAGAAATGTAAACCTGGGAAAGGTTCTTCCCTTTGCCAGCAAGCCATTTTGACGTGTGAGAACAAACACATCAATATCTGTCAGTATGTCATTACAATTACTGCACATATATTCTAGTTCTTATAGCCTGTTTTGAGAATCTGGTGAAAGCTATGAATCCTTTCCCTGGAAAAATGCAAATATATGTATACACACAAATGCTATGTACAATATTTGGGGCTTTACAACCTTCAGAAGACCATGACTCACGAATCCACTCTAGTTTCATTTCTGCACATCAAATATTTTTCTTCTTTCATATAACAAAATCTTTAATTTGCTTTGCAAATACAACCTGTTAACCAGAACAGCAGAAATGATGTACTCCCACTGAATATAGCTGTCCAGTGAGCTTTACCCAAGTGAGCTTCTATATTCTCTTAATCTCAAATTCTCTCACAGTTGAACCAGTATCTAGCAAGTATGTGTGTGTGTGTGTGCGCGCACGCGCGCAAAGATGTAAATAATTTGAGGCTAAGACATATAAGACATTTCTTAGCCTTAAGATATTTACGTGAGAGATACCTTACGTGGCATTTATTTTACTATGCAGACTATGTTAGATAGTATTGAAAAAGGAAGTACAGAGATTCAGGAGGAATAATTTCTTTCTGACTGGGGAGGATTCAAGGTAGAGCATTTGAACTGTATCTTCTGAATAGTTGATTTGGATGTTCATATAAAGGGAGGAGAGGCAGGTGAAAGAAACAAACAGTATGAACCAAAGCATAGTTGTCTGTGGGAATAGCAGGTGATTTTAATGTAGTTAGTTAGACTCTGGAGTGGCCAATAAAATTCATCCTGTGTTCCACCTCTGGTAATATTCTCGAGTATCAAGTTGAGAAAGATCCTTGGGCTCGTAGGTGCTTGTCAGGAGAGGCTGCTGTGATTGATTCGTGATATCTGCCACAGGAATATGGGAAATGGCTCTTGATTGAATATATCTTAAAGCCTCACAGAAGCCAAGACTGTGCTCATTGCTGTAACTTAAGCGCCTAGCACAGTGCCTGGCACATGGAAATGGTTCATAAAATATTGGTTAAATGAGTGAACCAATGTATGCCAGTCCTACTTAGAGTCACTGATTGTGTTGGGGGAGGTGATGTTTTGAGCCAGAGTTATACTATTAATTACTAATGAATTATTGACTATCATGGTTCTGAATTTAATTCTGCCACATGATTTCACAGTGACATGGATGATATGTTAATGAAAATGGGCATGGGCATAGTTGGACTCATTAAAGAAAATAAATCGGGCAGTCTGTCTTTACAAAGGGCTAAGGCCGGGTGCAGTGGCTCACGCCTGTGATCCCAGCACTTTGGGAGGCTGAGGCAGGCGGATCATGAAGTCAGGAGATCCAGACCATCCTGGCTAACACGGTGAAACCCTGTCTCTACTAAAAATACAAAAAATTAGCCGGGTGTGGTGGCGGGCGCCTGTAGTCCCAGCTACTCGGAGGCTGAGGCAGGAGAATGGCATGAACCCGGGAGGCAGAGCTTGCAGTGAGCCGAGATCGTGCCACTGCACTCCAGCCTAGGCGTCAAAGTGAGACTCCTTCTCAAAAAAAAAAAAAACCAACCAACCAAACAAACAAAAAAACCCACAAAGGACTAATGTTAGTGCTGTAGTTTGATATTGACTAAGAAATCCCTACAAGAGTCAGAGACCAAATCTTCCAGCTCAATTTGTTAGTCAAATCAGTAACATTTAATATCCTTTCTATATTTTTGCTTAATCAGGACAGGAAAATTTCCTCAAACGTCTCTGACTTTTAACAAATGTCAACTTAAACATATGGCCACTAACTTCCATTTTCTGATAACCTCAGTTGTTCTGTATTGAATATGACCTCAGAGAGAAATCAGCTTCAGTCACTGGCTAAGTTTGTTATGGTTCCTCTGAGATCAGGCCTGGGTACAAGGTTTGAGATTACTTGTAACCATGCTACTAGGTTTTGGCTATACCTGTTGATGCCCTGGATTAATCCTTGAGAGAAGGGGAGACACTGCCCTATTAGTCACCAGAGGCCCTGCACCTAGCACAGTATCTGACACATTGTAGACATTCAATAAATAGTTCCTAAATTGAATTTAATTTCAAGACTTTGTAAAAATTTTTTTTCTTGGCATATTTATTTTGCAGTCTACAAATATTTTTATTATTCACATACAGTTTATGAGTTAATCCAGTACTTTCATGCTTCAAGCCTTTGGAGTCTGTGCAGACCCAGAAACATTGCATGGGTGGCACATTTCTAGGAGGGGTAAGATTGGTTGTTTTTGTTTGTTTGTGTGTTTGCTTTTTTGAGATGGAGTCTTGCTCTGTTGCCCAGGCTGGAGTCAGTGGCAAGATCTTGGCTCACTCAGTCTCCACCTCCCAGGTTCAAGCAATTCTTGTGCCTCAGCCTCCTGAGTAGCTGAAATTACAGGCACGCACCACCACACCTGGCTAATGTTTCTGTACTTTTAATAGAGATGGAGTTTCACCATGTTGGCCAGGCTGGTCTCGAACTCCTGGCCTCAAGTGATCTGCCCACCTCAGCCTCCCAAAGTGCTGGGATTACAGGCGTGAGCCATCAAGCCTGACTGATTGTAGATTCCTCTCAAAATGTGTCTTACGTTCTTCTTTGTACTCCTTGTCCTCTGGCCTGTGGTCCCTGCTCTCTCCATCACACCATTCCCCTTGCCTATCAGCCCAAGAGGGTTTGGGGATGACAGAGTGCAGCTGCTGAGTGCCCTGGGTTCGAGGTTTCAGTCTTTGGTGGACATTAGTATCTTATGTGAAGCTTGTTAAGCATGTAGATACCTAGGCCCCACCCCAGGCTTCCTGAATCAGAACCTCTCGGGTTTTCAGGTTTCTGGCAGGTTATATGTGGTGATTCTAGTGCAGTTTTAGTGTAAATTAATTTGGAAATGCAGACTTTGGAGAGTAGCTGGGGTTGGGCAGTATCCATGTGGTGGTAACAGAATGGGTTGCTGGAATGCATATGGGGATGAAGTAGCAACTGAGGGTGTGCCGTGTGCCAGGCACGTTGGATCCTATGGTGTAGAAACTAGCTTTGAAGATACAATCATGAGTCGCCTTATTTTTTTTTTCCTGATTGCAGAAATCACTTTTCTAAGGTGATTCTAGTGTAAGTTTCTCAAGTATGTTAGTTTCCCAGGACTGTATAACAACCACAGACTTGGTGGCTTAACTAAGAGAAATTCATTTTGTCAGTTCTGGAGGCCAGAATTCTGAAACCAAGGTGTTGGCAGAAACGTGTGCCTTCCAAAGGCTCCCGGTGGAATTTGTGCCTTCTAGTCCAGCGTCTAGTGACTCCAGGTGTTCCTTGCCTTGTGGCAATGTAACTCCAGTGTCTGCTCCATCTCCACATGGCCGCCTCCTCTTCTCCCTGTGCCTCCTCTCTGTATATCTCTTACAAGGACTCTTACCACTGAATTTAGGGGCCACCTGAGTAATCCAGGATGACCTCGTCTCAATTTTATTTTATTTTATTTTATTTTTTTGAGGAATAGTTTCGCTCTTCTTGCCCAGGCTGGAGTGCAATGGTGTCATCTCAACTCACTACAACCTCCATCTCCTGGATTCAAGCGATTCTCCTTCCTCAGCCTCCTGAGTAGCTGGGATTACTGGCATGCACCACCACACCTGGCTAATTTTCTATTTTAGTAGAGATGAGGTTTCACCATGTTGGTCAGGCTGGTCTCGAACTCCTGGCCTCAGATGATCCGCCCACCTCAGCCTCCCAAAGTGTTGGGATTACAGGCGTGAGCCACGGCGCTTGGCCTTTTTTTTTTTTTTTTTTTTTTTTGAGACAGAGTGTCTCTCTGTCACCCAGGCTGGAGTGCAGTGGCACAATCTCAGTTCACTGCAACCTCTGCCTCCCAGGTTCAAGCAATCCTCCAGCCTCAGCCTCCCAAGTTGCTGGGATTACAAGCGTGCTCCACCATGTCCAGCTAATTTTTGTATTTTTAGTAAAGACAAGGTTTCACCATTTTGGCCACGGCGCTCTCGAACTCCTGACCTCAAGTGATCTGCCCGCCTTGGCCTCCCAAAGTGCTGGGATTATAGGCATGAGCCACCATGCCCAGCCTCAATATTCTTAATTGTACAAAGACCATTTTTCCAAATGAAGTCACATTCACAGGTTCTGAGGATTAGGATGTGGACATATCTTTTGGGCGGCCTTAACTTAAGACTTACTACACCAGGAAAGAGGATTTATAATAATTTCTGTTACCATTATTTCTCTTAAAAAATGAGTAAGATTAATATTTCCTTTTTTAAAAAATTATTTTATCATGGTAAGAACATTCTATTTTCCTAAGAAATTGTAAAGTGTACAATAATAGGGACAATGTTGTACAACAGATCTCTAGAACTTATGAGTATTTCTTTCTGAGCAATCCTATATATAGCCTGTCTTTAGAATCTATGAGTACCTTTTACATATTATTATTCATCTAATGTATGGTGAAATATCTCCATTTCATTTGTTAGCTATAATACTAAACACTGACCAGGCAACTCATTTACCACTGATAAACTTTAAGAGAAACAAAAATATTTATTGAGCTGTAACTCAAAAATTATGATAATGATTAAAAGAGCTTTAAGTATCTTAAACTTCCAGCAAAGCTTTTATGATTATCGCTCGTCATTTTGCTCTCTGGTACACATGTGAATGAATCTGCTGCTCTTCACCTCGGATCACGCTACCGAGAGCTGCCCGTGTAAGAAGCAACATGATCCCAAATCAAATTAAATTCCTGTGCTTTACAGCATCTGATCTCGTAATGATAACAGTAGAGTAGTTAGTCACTGAGAACTGCAAACATTTAAAAGTCAAGGGTCAAATCCAGTTTCATACAATAACAGTTGATTTCACTTTGCTAAA